TAGCTAGGGAAAGGTTAATTAAGACTAGCAGGGAGTAGTTAGTGATTGTTTTAGGAAAAGAGTAAATTAAAAGGAAGTCACATAGTTATGCATTAAGCAAAATCTGTGTTGATAGTGTTAGGAAATTGTCCATGGGTCCTTATGCCCTGGGAGTTATCTAAGATTCGCTTTTTGTCAAAAGACCAAGGAAGCTTTCCAGGAGTCTTGATGCTCTGGGGTCTTATATCTCCAAGAGCTTGCCTTTTTGTCTTAAGTAAAAGGAATTTCCTGCCCAGGAGCAGCTCAGCTTGTACTTTGCCCAGCCAGGTAGCTCTAAATGAGCTAAGGCAATCCAGTTACAAACTGATGTTGCTACAGTATTTTTGATATTATGATTATACAAAAAAGGGAGGTCATAACATAAGTTAGCAGTGGAAATTCTGATTTTTCAGGGCTTTTCCCGATCCACCCGGAATCTGTCAGATGATAGACGTTGCATACACAGCTTGTGTCAGGAGAGAAACAGACAATAAGGAGTCAACCATAGAAACTACCAGATAAGCATCCATATCAGACCAGGAGTGAGGGATTAGGAGAGCTTTCTCAGGGGAGGTGAGACATGGGGTTTTAAAGAACGAGTAAGAGCCATCTGGGTGCAGAAGGGCCTTTGCAGGAAGAGGCAACAGTCCACACGAAGGTGCAGAGACACAGCCACCACAACACTAGGGGCACCTCTATGTAGGTGCGAGTGGTGGAAATGTGGGCATGGAGTAGTACTTTTGCATTCAAGTTTAATCTGTAGCCTGAAAGGCATGAAAAATCTGAGAAGGCTCATGACTAATTTGGTATTTTATTTTTAAGATTTATTTATGTATACAGAATTGGGGTACAGGCCAGAGGAGCAGGGGTGGTGAGTATTCACCAGAGACAGAATGGGGACCAGAACAGGCAAACTGACAAAGTGCACTGCTGAGGGGAGCAATGGGAAGCAATGGGTGGTCAGGAGAGGTCTGCCATGCCACGTGGGTCACCTCCCTGACCGGGGATCAACCTCATGCTGAAGCAGCTATGGCTAGTTTCATGGTGCTGTGCCTAACCCGTTGTGCCACCAGGGAGGGCCCTAATTAGGTATTTTTTAATCTCTCAAAAGTTTTTATTTCCTTGCTCAAAGGCTTTTGTTTTATTATAGCACATGGGCTGGTACTAATGGCAAGGGGTGGCGGTCACAGGCAGCCACTGTCTGGGTGAACAGTAGATGCCGCCACTCTGCCTCACGTTTTTCCCCCATTAACCCCCAACCACACATTCTAATTCCTAGACAGGAAAATATTCCAAAGGATACCTTGGTTGCCATGCCCTGAGCATGACCTGTCACTGAGCCCATCTTCATGTGGTGCCAGGAGCTTGGCTGGAATGCCCTAGGTGCCCACAACCACAGCAACTTGTTCACAGTCTCAGTTGGTTAGCCCTGTGTCACTAACTAGGTATTTTAGAATGACTGTTCTGGCAAAAATTCAGGAGAAGCCAGACTGAGGTCAGGGACAAATGCAGCTGTCTTGCAGCTGAGAAGAATGAAGGGGTGGAGAGACAGGGCGGCTCTAGAAGTGAGCATGCAGGCAGAGTTTCAGATTAAATGTGAGCAGTGAGTGAGAAGGAGACTTGGCCAACACTGGAGGGTGGGTAGAAGGTGCAACCACTTACTATAGAGTAAGTGGTAAAGGAAGGAATGGTTTGGGTGGGAGATGAAGTCTTTGGTTTTTGACATATGTGTGGTGAATCTGCAACTCTGGAAGATTCTGAGTTGAGATGTTAGCAGATTCTAATTTTTCTGGTTAAATAAATTTGGGAAAAACTGAGTTAAAGTTATACAATTAAACTAAAGTTTTCTTCTCCTCAGGAAGAAAACTTCTACATTTACTCTACTGGCAGTAATATTACTGAGTGCTCGCTTCATAACTACCAACTTATTAGCTCCTGTGTTCCTCTCCACACTTACTCACAAGTGGTATGTCCTGGATTTCCCCTTCCCGACTCCCTTTTATAAAGGAAGGTTCTGGGGAAAGTCATGACACATTTTTGCTTGAAAAACACAGAAAAAATACATCATGACTTTCCCAACAACCCAGTAGATAAGACAGGAGCAGAACAATTAAAAATCTTGTTTAAAGTTACATGACAATTAGTATGAAGCCAGAAAGGTAACTCCAGAGTTTAGGCTCTTAAAAAACAAAGAACCAACAATAAAAAACCACACACAAATCATCTTAATTGAAGGATAACTGAAAAAACTAAGATTTTTAAAGTGGACTTCATATTTAATAGTGACTTGATACACGGAATAAAAGGATTCTCTCCTACCTAGTTAATTAGCACAATCATTACCTCATATATTCATCTTTTGTGTATGAGATCCCCTGTTTACCTATTCTCTGTATGCCGAGAAGTGACGATAGTTCTACTTTAAATTTTTATGTGGAACTTCCATCTGTTTTCCAAAGTAACCATACCAATTGACATCCTTACTAACAGTATACAAGGTTTCCCTTTTCTCCACACCCTCACCAACACTTGCAAGATGTTTGAATGTCTTCAGGAATTTTTTTTTTATGGCAGTCATAACTTTTTGACAAGTGCTTGTAATACTAACCTTGATGGTCATGTCCCAAAGGGTGATAGTGTTCATAGTTTCTCAAACTAATCTGATTATAGAACATTCTCTTCAAGGAACAACTGGTAGCACTTTAAGGGAACCAAGTGACTGCAGCAACATGTCAAGCAATGTGGCATCAGCATAGTACAGCTAGGAATATAATGGAGACTCCAAAGGAGAGAGCACCAAGTGATAAAAGCAGAGAGTTGAGGCCATGACAAAGAGAGGTGAGGAGACTGTAGAGAAAAACAGAGGTAACTTAGAACCACTGGATGGAAACCAAGAGAGTAGAATCTCAGAAGTCAAGTGATCAGTAGGAAAGCAGAGAACGTACATTGACCTTAGCAATATGGTGGCCATGGGAATTTTGGTGAGAGCCATTTTAGGGACTGATGGGGGCAGTTGACTTCTGAACTATAAGGACTAACACTAACCAAATTATCCTTTTATGAATTCCAGATATTGAAATTGCCCAAAATGAGCAAGACAAAGGGCATTCTCAGAAATGTAACTGGAGGTTCATGGGTGATGATTACAAGCAAAGGAGAGACTGGGAAGCATAGATGGGAAGAAAATGAGGATTTGCTGTGTATGCCTGTGACTAAGTTTCCATTAATCTATCCTAAGTCACAGGGATAACTCTTGATGGGTTTTAAATAGAGCAAATGGGCAGCATCCCAAGGATATTCAGAGGCATCAGGTACATTTCTAGTAAGAGTGATTTTGTAATGGCCATGCTAGAAAGTGAAAGCCCTTATCTGGAAAAGTTAATGTCATTCTTAGAATTTTTTCTTAAAACCCATGGAAGGTTCTATTAAATGTTATCCTCAACAAAGAGGAGAGACTGTCACTGCCCTCCTATTCTATCACGATTGCCATCTATACCCTCGATGCTCTCTCTCCCCTACACTCAATTATAGAGAACATCATACCTGTGAGAGCCAGAAAGCTAAGTTGATTAACACCAGGTCAATCAGACGTCCCGTCCCCCCCCCCCCATTGGGATGATCCTGGTTAACAAGTGACAAATATGTGGCTTTCATAGACATCTGACAGTTTCCTGTGCACCTTTCAATTCAGTGTCTCTTTTAGTACAAGACCTATTAATGTTCTCACTACTGTCCTGACATGGGACTCCGACAAAGCAATCTACTTACATAAAACTTTAAAAGTAAAATCTTTTAGGCCCTCCCTGGTGCGCAATGGGTTAGGATGCAGCACTGCAGGTGAACAGCAGCTGCTTCAGTGCGAGTTGGATCCCCAGACCTGGAGATGATTGACATGGTGCAGCAGACCTCTCCTGTCTCTCCTGTTGCTCCCCTCAATATTGTATTTCATTGATCTGCCTGTTCTGCTCCCACTCTGTCTCTGGTGAAGCCTGTCACTGCCACCTCTGGCCTGTACCCCAGTTCTGTATGCATAAATAATCTTAAAAAAAAGTAAAACGTTTTAAATGGTAGTATCAGGAAAGGTGAGAGAATAACTTATAAGAAATTAACTAAGTCTTTCCAAAGGTTTTTCTCAAACTTGATTCACCCAGGCAGAAAGCAGAAGTGCACTGTATGTACCCCAGGTCGGGAGAGGTGACAGACATAGGACACAGCCTCCAGCCCTACTACTACTAAGGCCACCTGAACACCCTGGGCATGGGGGATGGCAGTGATGGGATATTCTGGGTTGGTAAACCACTCTTGTCAAAATATAAGTTCCTTTAAATATAAGATGGTGTGTGGAATATATGGAAACCAAACAAAGTCAAATTAAGGACTAAGCCTAAAAAGCTAGTTATAGAATGGAGGCTACCAGAGGGTGAGGGTAAAGGGCAGGAGCAAGATGGAGAGGGAGCGCAGAGGATTATGGTGTGGTGTGGTAACAAAACCTTAGGGGGAGGTACTGAAAGATACTGTCCTCTAAAAGATAGTCCATGTGCCCTTGAGAAGAATGTGTATTCTGCTGTTGTTGGGTAGAATGTTCTCTATGCATTTGTTAGGTCCATTTGGTTTATAGTGTTTTTCCTTACTGATGATCTGTCCATTGTTGAGAGTGTGATATTAAATTCCCCATAGGAGATTTTATAATTTTTCTATAGTACTTTATTGGATGACAGGGTTGTCTTCTGAAAGACACCACTTCTAACTATACTGTAATTATGATCATCATTTTATCCTTGCAGGGATGACTATATGCACACTAAAAGGTAAATATGACCAATAATTTGAGGTATGTTTAACTGATTGTGTAAAGTCAGGATTCCACAGAACAATTTAATGGAATCCTTGAATTATGTTCTTTTTGTTTCCAGCTATATCTCTTTATGGAAAAAGAAAACCTAAAATCTAAAGTTATGAAAAAAAATGTCTCTTTTTCGCAGGTATTCCAATACCCAAAGAAGACATTTCTGCCCCACTGATCTCCAGCTCACCAGTGAAAGAAGCCCAGGAGTATGAGGACCCGCCAAGTGAAGATGATGATCAAATGAAAGACGAGCCCTTAACCATCTCTGAACTGGCCTACAATCCAAGTGCCAGCCTGCTCCCCACCCCTGTGGATGATGATGAGATTGACATGCTCTTTGACTGTTCATCTAGGCTGGAGTTGGAAAGAGAAGACACAGATTCCTTTGAAGAACTGGAAGCAGATGAAAATGCCTTTTTGATGGCTGAAGAAGAGGAGCTGAAGGAGGCTCACCGAGCTTTGACGTGGAGCTATGACATTCTGAGCGGCCATATTCGGGTGAACCCACTGGTCAAGAGTTTCTCCAGGCTCCTTGTGGTGGGCCTGGGGCTGCTGCTCTTTGTATTCCCCCTGCTCCTCCTCCTTTTGGAGTCAGGTATTGATCTCTCCTTCTTATGTGAAATCCGCCAGACGCCAGAGTTTGAGCAGTTTCACTATGAATACTATTGTCCTCTCAAGGAGTGGGTGGCTGGCAAAGTCAATTTCATCCTCTACATGCTGGGTTGCTCATAAAATTTATATCTCAGATGACTAAGGGCTATATTCAATACTAGTGATTATTATTTTTTTTTTCCAGCAAATGCCTGGTTCTGAATGGTCATGGGGCCATCAAAAGGCATTCCTTATTCACAACTGATTATTTAAACCTTAAGCTTGCTTTCCATAATTCACTGCACTTAAATTAGTTAAAATCAAATACAGTTATGTTAGTTATCGGTCAAAAAGATGGCCTCTAAACAACCAAAAATATGTTTATTTTTATTATAGTACAGACTAACTCTTTATTATCATAATACATAACACATTGAGCTGAATTAGATTTCCCATTTTTTAAATAGCACCATTAGAAGCTATAGGGTCTTAGGAAAAACCCAAGAGAACATTTTTGAATATAATCCCTAGGATTATGTCCTCTAACCAATGCCTATACAACTAAATTTATGCTGGGTTTTTGTTTTGGTTTTTTTAAAAATATTTTTTATGTGTTCAAAATATTTTGGTAAATTTTTAGCAAAAAAAAAAAAAAGCCTCCTGGAGTTATTTAAGTGTACAGATTGTAAGACTAATACACTAGGGTATGTTGGGAATTTTTTAATGCTTTGGCACTGGTTTGTTTTTAAAAATATTTTTTGGCTGAACAATTCCATAATTTGTTGTTTCCTGCATATAAGATAGAAAATAAGTAGAAAGAAACTCGTACGTAAAGTCCCCCAAATGGATGATGGAACTGGGGAATGTGGAAACTGAGAGCATCAAGTGGACACAGTGTTCATTTTCAAAGTATTTGGACAAAATGACTTTTTTAACTTTCATTTGAATTTTGTCCCTATATTTTGGATAGGGAAATAGAAGTAAAATTTTAAAGAAAAAGTTGAAGATATGCTAGTTAATTGTATTAACCCAAGAGTGGAAGCAGATGGGAAACGGGCAAATAGCAAGTAGCAAAAATAGAGTCCCGGTGAGGCTGGCAGGCAAATATGGTAGGCAGAGGATCTATTTCATGAAAGAAATTGTGATGCAAGGTACTGGATGATGTGAAAAACAAGCTATTTGAGTGCACTAATTGTCAGAATTGACATTAATATGCTTAAGTGGACCCCAAAAAGAGTGGACCCCAAAAGAATGGCATGGGGTCCCTTATGCCATTCATTGTGATTCTGTAGCAGAAGTTTCAAAAGAAGTGTGTGTGTGTGTGTGTGTGTGAGAGAGAGAGAGAGAGAGAGAGAGAGAGAGAGAAGAGGACGGATTTTGGCTTTTTGATAAATGCCAATGCTCTTCCTTGTGGTAGTCATTATACTCCTTTTCTTTCCTGATTTTCTTAAGATCTTAATTCATTCATAATTGGAGAGCCCATTAAGTGGAGGGAACTCATTAGATGATACACCATTTCATTTTGGGTGACGTTACACAACGCCTCCCTAACCCGACAACAAGGGGAAGACTTACTCTCCTACCTTCCACCACACCATTAAATCCAGACAGAAACACTCTGCTGCCTTCCCCTGGGGAGTCCCTACCAAAACTAAGATATAAGTGAGAAAGAGGAGAGTAAAGAGAGTATAGAGCTCAGAGTACAGAGCATTGAGGCTCTCTCTAGATTGAAAATGTTTCATTTACAGAGAGATTGGGCCGTATGAATCTCTTCCTAATTCTAACCAATACTCCTACTTATAATTAGCACAATTTCTAAGTTGGCAATTCTAGTCCTACTTATTCAGTGGAGCTCTGAGTACTCACTGGATACTTAATTTTGAAAAGTTTTAAAAGGCAGCTCATAAAACCTTCATTGAGTAAACTATAACATATATTTGCTATTATGTTTATAGAGTGTCCTTTCTCATGTGCTTTCAGGGATTCATTTTGCTTTTTAATAATTATGTTTTCTATAGTTTTGGGGGGAAGTTTCGCAAATGGTCAGTTTTGAACTTTTGCAAACGGTCAGTTCTGAACTTGAGGGCTTTCCCCCATTTTTTTTCCTTGGCATGACTTAAGTCAGGCATCTGACATAACGGTGCTCTAGTGTGGTGTACATGAAATTAACCCCTCTTCTAAAAACTATGCTTCATATTTCCCCTTTTTAAGTTCTCTAACCATGACAAGTTAGTTATTCCTCACCCTTTAAAAAAATAACATTAATATTTTTAAGTTATGAAAGTAATGTGCTATCCATTGTAAAACATTTGAAAATATTGACAATATCACATATAGTGCAACCATGCAGATTTATATTAAGAGTAATATATTTACCATTTTCCATTAAATTTTTTTTCTCTTAAAATCTTTTTTCTCAAAAACTTTACTGTTTAATAGAAATGTCTTTAAATGAAGGAAATGACAGGGCAGGGTCTGATGACTTTAAAGAATAGCTACCAACAATAAAGCTGAGATCCTGGAATGCCATCTTATCAGGGTAGAATCAGAATCTTTTAGAAATATCCATCTAGGTTTTAGCAGAAGAGAGTCATCTGTTACCTGAATCAAATGAGGAAAAGACTGCTTCCAAAGATGAAGAGTATAGTGAGACAGCTCAAAGCAAGTGTGTGAGTATATGTATATTCTATATTACTGGTGTATATGTGTTTATATATGAAACTGTATATATGTGTTGTATCTGTACACACACAACTGATAGGCCCTCATTATATAGTTGTGTTTATTTCTTCCCATCTGAGGAATATATGACATGTTACTGTTCCTTTTTCCTCTTAGATATGGTGGATAAAATCCAGTCTCAGAGGTTGAAATTTCCATTAAAACCACTGTGTGTACCTTTGTAGTTATATATACACACATATATGGTAAATACATATACACACACAATCTTGCCTTTAGTGCTAATGCAAGTTGGATTATGAAACAAAATGTAGGTAAAGTATTTTGTGTTTTTGTCTGTGCTTGGAACATATTACAAAATGTTATGTATTTGGAATATATCTTGTGGTTTGTCTAACATTTATAGAGACAACTTTGGGAAGAATTCAAAATGAGTTGAATTCATTGAAATACCAGAGATCTGGGGGCCATGTTACCTGTGATTGGAGCCTTATCTTTGTATAGTGAAATTTGCATTTCTATGTCAACATCCAGTTTGTTCTATGTTAATTTGGTGGCAGGAATCCCTAATAAAAATACTCTGGGGAAAAATGTTTCTGCAATGATTTAAGTTTTATTTAAAGTCAAGTTGCATAAATGGTCTGTTGGAAACTACAGAAAGGTGCCATCTAGGATCATGAAATGAGGTTACCCTTGAGGGGTGACAGTATGAAAAAAATGACAGGTAATGGATGGAGTTAACCCTGTGCAGCAGCCCTCCAGGCTAAGAGCAGGGATACTTAGTGCTCTGGACATGCACCCAAACACAAAACAGTTACAGTAGGCATTTAGAGAATTAGAGAAACATAGATAAAACAGAGGTGGGGCCTGATCTGCTGACAGGATGCTAGAAATTAGTGTGTCATTATTTTTGGTCAGAAAAGAGTGCCTTCCTGTGCCAGAGAGAGCTACCTTAGATCAACTCTGTGACACTTGCTATTTATTAAATCTCTGTCTGTTGATGGGTCCTGTATATTATTATTCTATTCCTATGTCTTCTATTGAGCACGGCCTGAAAGGTCCTCAGATTTAGTTTACTGCTAAGCTAACAGCTGACAGTTAAATCAGAAACAGTTAATACAAGTAAGGCAAAGGGGCTCTCTTACTCTAGGAATACACCATAGATGTCCAGTAAACTTGGACCCCAGCTGTGATGGCCTTTTGAGGTTGTCTGTCACATTACTTTTTAAAATTTGCTTGGGATGTATTTGATATATAATATTGCATTAGTTTTAGGTATATAGTCATTTGATATATATTGCAAGATGATTACCATTGTAGGTTTAGTCAACATTCATCACTTCACATAGTTAATTTTTTTTTTTTTCTGTGATGAGAACTTTAAGATCCATGCGCAGCAATTTTCAGATACACCACACAGTACCACTAACTAGAATCACCAGGTTGTACATTACACCTCCAGGACTTATAACTCTAATTTGTACTTTTTGATCACATTCACCCATTTCACCCACCTGGGGGTTGGGGGTGTGGACAGTCTTTGAAGTGAGAACTCAGCTTAGAAGCTAGAGTGCAGGTTAGAAAAGGAATTTAGCGGCTAGCATTCAGGTGTGAAGTGACTGTGGACCTACAGTCCTGACTCAAGCAGCTCTTGCCAGCTCCTGTTTGGGTCAGTGTCTGCAAATTGAAAGGCCCACAAAAAATGGCTGTTGGTTACGTATTTGTTGAGTTGTCCAGGCTCCTAATCCAACCTAGTCCCTTGGGAGAAACCTTTTTCCTCATTCCTACATTCTTGCTCAGTCATGAGGGGAAAGATCTCCTAACCATACTCCAGCTTGGAAAGAAAGTGTTGGGGAGAAACTTCTACCTCTGGGGTAGGCTTGGGATGGTTGCAGTTGATGAACTTGAGACTCTTTGGGCCGTCTTTCTCTACGAGGTAGAGACAGTTGCTAAAGGCCCCTGCTTACTTGTCCTCCTGCTTCTTCTCTCTCTCTCTCTCTTTCTCTTGGACCTGATTTTGGGCTTCCAGTCTCCATGCAGTAATAGACCCAGCAGGACCTGCCCATGGTGGGCCCCGCCAGGACTCCGCTCTCCACATTCCAGCCTCAATCTGTGACGGGGGGTAAGTTTGGCGAGCCTTGTCCAATAGACTCAGTAGTCATCACTTCAGAGAGGATGAAAGAAACCTCACTTGGGCCTGATTCCCAGCTGTGTTCTCTAATCCATTAATAAAGCTGATTTTAATCCTCTTCTACCTGTCATGTCTATTATCCATGGGGAGCAGGGTAGGGATGGCTGGGGGATGCAGAACGGTACGGTGAATGTTTAGTATGTCTGTAACAATCAATGTTGCCAGCAAGGAGAGAGTGAAGGCTTCACAAACTGAAACTCAGGTACCAAGGGGTGTCTGCCATTGCTGCTGTCTGTGATAAGCCTTGCAGGTGGGTGAAAGAACTTGAGACTTAAAGAACAGGATGACTGGAACTAACCATACCTTCTCTTTATTATAGCTGATGTTTATGCAAAATATTTTGAAAAAGAACTGAGGGCTCCTTCATTGTTAAAGAAAAAACTCTTAGAAGAACTTTTAAAAGTAAATTCCAAATTACCAAAAACTTGAGAGAAACCTTTTCAGAAAAGTCATTCTGTAAGAATCATTTGCTCTAGATTTACTAATATTTATATATCAAAACAGTTTATCAGAAACTGTCGTAATGTGGTTACAGGCCATAAAATGTGCTTGACACCAATAATAGATATATTAACAGAGCTTTCTCAAAATTAAAAATTATCAGAAACTATTTGTGATCCTGCATTTGTCAAGAGCAGCTGCTGTTACTTTAATTATATCAATTGAAAATGAAGTAGATGAAAGTGAATCCTCCAACATCTATGACCAAGAAATTTATATACTGATATGGTAAAATATTAATTGAATTATACAAAATTATGGTAACAAGAGTGTTGGTTTTTTTTTTTTAGAATTTTTAATATGTTGTAACAAAAGTGTTACTCATGTAAGGTTACTGCCCTATTATATAAGTAACAAAGTACTTTAAATAAAATCCCTTATATTTTGGCACCTTCAATGGCACTTTTATCCTGTACTTGAACAAGTGATTCACTTGTTCATTATGCACAGGACCTGGAAATTATATCACTGACCCTGACGAGAGGGAGCATGGCAATGAATCCTAAGAGTGAAAGCCAAAAGCATATGGCTAATGGAAGAGTGTGAAGTCATATAAATGGTAATAAAGAGTCTATAAATATTTCCTCTTTATAAAGATAAGAAATGAAGAAGTAATCTTTTGGCTAACTCTGGTTTTTAGATTGGGTTCCAGTAAATGAGATAAAATTAAAAAAAATTCAGCATCTAGGACTTAGTAAAGAGATGTATAACAGAGTGAATGATTCTCAGTGTGACAAATTCTTTTGCATGTCAGGTCATTACTAATTATTTGCTTTTGATAAATTGAAAGAATAATCAGCTGAGAATACTGGTAAAAAATGTGAAAGTCAACTTTCCCAGATCTCTTGAAATTAACCAAAATCATACAAATAACAGAAAAATGTATTCAATTATAATCTATTGAATCTTGGCATGCTGTTTGAGCTTTCTGGCACTGTAACTGGCGCTGTTCCCACCTCCCTCTCATCAACCCTGTAACATCCTTGAAAACCAATAACCTCAAGATTATAACATCTGTAGAAAACAGTCACCCATCTGGAGGAGACAGATGGGTTTGAAGTTCCTTAACAGCCACATCCTCAGAATTACTATTTGACCTATATGGCAGTTCCCTGAAAAGCTTCATTCTCATCATTTTCCTGTTCAAAGCTCCCTCCAAGCTCCTAGGTTTCCTAGAACAATTCTCAACAATAATTAGTGGCTGCCTGAGGTGGTGCTATACAAACTGAACAAGGAGGAGTGACTGAGCAAGACTTCCCCTGAAACTTCTAATGGGACTAGTTGCTCTCTTAGCCAAATCTAAATGTTGACAAAAACAAGGAGCAGGTTGGGAACAGTTGAGAACAAAGGCAAGGTGTAATGGAGCACACTATCATAGATAAATACAGATAAATAAGTGGAAGTATGGGACAACTTAGCATTAGAAAGGCTGCAATACCACTGAAAAACAGCAGTTGAGCAATTCAGTAGAAAGTGGGAATGAAGGCATTCCACTCAAGGTTAAAAAGAACACATCCCAGAAAGGTTTAGAGGCGTCCCTAATCTCTAGCCAGGATGATAGGAGAAAATGCTCCCTATATGAAATATAATGGTAAAGACTGGAAGGGTGGCTGTTTTACAAATGCTGAAACCCAACAAAAGATAAAGCACTAAAACAAACAAACAAACAAACAAAAAACATGACATCATCAAAGAAACAAATGAAATCTGCAGTCACAGGGTTAAATAAAGGGAGATTTACAAGTGAAAGACCTTGAAATAACCATCAAAAGGATGCTCAATGATTTAAATATAGCACAGAGGGGCAAAATCAGGAAAACAATGAACAAAATAAGGATAACAAGATTATGAAAAAACTAAATAGGAATTCGGGAACTGAAAAATTCAATAACTGAATTTTAAAAACTCACTTGCGATGCTCAATGGAAGACTACGCAAAAGTAAAGATTTAGTGAATTCAAAGATAAGACATACAAAATGGCCAAGGTCAGGAGTAAAAGAAAAAGAATGAAGGAAAGTGAAGACAGATTGCTATATATGGGCTACCATAAGGCAGAACAGCGTATGCATTAAGAGAGTCTTAAGAAAAGGAAATGCGCAGAGAGCCTGGGTGAAAAGGAATGGATCAAACTTCCCAAAGGTGAGGACAGAAATGATAACAGAAATTCAAGAAGTTGAAAGAATCCCAACTAGAATCTGAAGTGAGCTATACTGAGACACATAGTACTCAAACTTTCAAAAATCACAAAGAATTATGATAGCATCAAAAGATAGTACATTCTTGATATGTCCAAGGCAGCTTATATCAGACTGTGTGCAGAGTGGGAAAGAGTGGATGATGTGGTGAGGGTAGTGGACCAAAGGCACTCCATCAAGAAAGACTGTCTTTGAAAGCAAAAGAGAAAAACGACTTTACAGATAAGTAAAAGCTGAGGGGACTTACTACCAGCAGGCCTGTCTTCCAAGATATGGGAAGGTTTTCAAGTTCAAATGAAAAGAGGGCAAAGGACAACATAAAACCAGATAAAACCAGATAAAACCCTGTAGTGTTTTAATGTAGGTCTGTTAGTAACTTTGAAATTTTGTATACAGTTCAAACAAGAGCATAAAAAGTAATTGTAAATGTGTTAGTGGATACACAATATAAAGATGTAATCTGTATTATAAACAATGTAAGAGATGGGGAAAGATGAAAAGGAATAGTTATTAAATGTGGTTGAAGTTAATAGTTTAAAATAGTTTATTAGAACAAACAAAAGGAGAGCAGCAACCTCTGATGTCAGGGAGAGTGCCCTTCAACCAGCACCTGATTTTTAGAGGCCAGTGACCCCTGCAAACAAGCCCAAAACTGTGAGTAAAAATAGGAAGGTAGAGTGAGGGCCCATTCTCATGGGGAGCAGT